AGGCCCGGGCTGACGCGAGCCCTGCTTGGCTTCGGTCTGGTCACCCTGTGGAACTGTCCCCTCGCCCACAAAACAGGGGGGCGGGGACTTCCTGACTCAGCGTGGCTCAGTGGCTGAGCATCGACCTATGAACCAGGAGGTCGAGGTTCGATTCCCGGTCAGGGCACATGCCCAGGTTGTGGGCTCGATTCCCAGTGTGGGGTGTGCAGGAGGCAGCCGGTCCATGATCCTCTCTCATCACTGACGTTTCTGTCTCTGTCTTCCTCTCTGACATCAATAACATTATATGTTTTTTAAAAAGAAAGAAAGAAGGAAAAGGAGGAGAGATGGGGGCTGGGGACCGCCCGGGGGGACTAAGGGCGGGAGGAGGGCGGAAGCTGGGTGAGCCCCAGCGCCCCGTCATTAGCAGAAAAGGGGGCAGCATGGGGCCTGTGTGGGGGAGAGACCTTGGGCCCCCCTTGGAGGACAGCAAGGTGTCGCCTCCCTGAGAGCCCCATGGGATTCTGCCTTTGGAATGTTCTGTGATCATCACAGCCAGTGGCTGGAGGTTCCCAGGGAGGCCGGAGAGACCCAGACAAGGGGTGTGTATTCAGAGGCGGCTCGGCCAGCAGATCGCTATCTGTGTGTGTGTGTGGGGGGGGGGGGCTGGGAGCCAGCTCTCCTATCTGCTGGGCCAGGTGTGCATTCCGGCCGATGGGAATGGAGGGGGCATCCTGTCGTCACGGCGACTGGGAGGCACTCCTGGCTTTCGGGCCCCGGGGCTGCCAGGCTCCGGTCCCTGCACAGAGGAGGATTGTCCTCCCGGGGTGCCAGCCGCGCCCACACCATTCCTCCGGGTGCCAGCCGGCTGGACCACGTGCCTCTGCCTTTATGCAACTACGAGGCCTTACCCGTGGCCCTGGGGGGAGGCCCCCAGTGCGGATACCTTGCCCGGGCTGTCCTGGCTTCGGGGCTCACCCCCTCTTGTGCCCACCTGGCAGCCCCTCTGGGAGCAGGGGGCGGGGCTTTGGCTGTCAAACCTTCAGCCGGGTCCCGGGGGCGGCTGGCCTGTCCCCACTGTGGGCGTCAGCCGGACACGGATGTGCACCGCGCTACGTGCTCCACGGACATTCGCTCGCTGGGCCCTCCGGGGGCAGTGATGGTCCCACCAGCTTTACAGACGAGGAAACGGAGGTCCGTGGATGTCAGTGACCGGCCCGAGGCTGTCCACTGGGCCAGGGGCGTAGGGGAGCTCAGCCCAGAAGGTCCGGCTCCAGAGCCTCCCCACTGCCCGTGTCTCAGCCCGGGGAGCCCGAGGGATGTGCCTGGAGCCCGCGGTGCCCGCGCCATGTGACTCAGAAAATGGATAACGGCCCGGCCAGTGTGGCTCGGGGGTTGAGGGTCGACCTGTGAACCAGGTGGTCACGGTTCGATTCCCGGGTTTCGGGCTCCATCACCAGCAGGGGGCGGGCAGGAGGCAGTTGATTGATGTTTCTCTCCCTCTCTCCCTCTCTCCCCCTTCCTCTCTGAAATCATTAAAATTATATGTTTTTAAAAGAGAGAGAGAGAGAGAGAGAGAGAGAGAGAGAGAGAGAGAAAGGAGAGCAGTCACAGGCTCCAGCTGGGACACAGGCCGTCTGTGCAGGGAGGGCTGGGCCACCCCAGACAGTACCGCCCACCTGCCCCAGGCACAGGGGAGCTGGGTGGGGTTCCCAGAAATGGGCGAGGCTGCTGGAATGTGGCTGGTGGGAGGCTGGGAAGTGCAGTCCACAGGTGTCCCCCCTGCCCCTGGGGGACCCACCAGTACCCCTCCCCATGGCCTGGCCGCCCCTGCTCCTCCCCAGCCGGGACAGCTGAGCCCCAGAGCCCGTGAGGCTCCCCTCGCGGGGTCCCAGGGGCACCAGGGTGAGCGCCTGGGTCCTCGTCAGGTGACAGATGACGGCGGGGCGTGTCCTGTGGGGAGAACAAGGCGCCCCTGTCCCTTTTCCATCTCAGGCTGCGGGTTGGGAGTCACTGGCTTTCCTGGGAGAGTGGAGGCGAGGGGGCGGGGCCTAACTGCATAGCTGGTGCGTTATCTGCAAGGTGTGCAGTCCGTCCGTCCGGGCGCTCACCACGCTGCCCCCTCCCCTGCCCCCTGCCCCCTGCCCACCCTGCTCACTTCCTACCCGTGGCCCTGGGGGGAGGCCCCCAGTGCGGATACCTTGCCCGGGCTGTCCTGGCTTCGGGGCTCACCCCCTCTTGTGCCCACCTGGCAGCCCCTCTGGGAGCAGGGGGCGGGGCTTTGGCTGTCAAACCTTCAGCCGGGTCCCGGGGGCGGCTGGCCTGTCCCCACTGTGGGCGTCAGCCGGACACGGATGTGCACCGCGCTACGTGCTCCACGGACATTCGCTCGCTGGGCCCTCCGGGGGCAGTGATGGTCCCACCAGCTTTACAGACGAGGAAACGGAGGTCCGTGGATGTCAGTGACCGGCCCGAGGCTGTCCACTGGGCCAGGGGCGTAGGGGAGCTCAGCCCAGAAGGTCCGGCTCCAGAGCCTCCCCACTGCCCGTGTCTCAGCCCGGGGAGCCCGAGGGATGTGCCTGGAGCCCGCGGTGCCCGCGCCATGTGACTCAGAAAATGGATAACGGCCCGGCCAGTGTGGCTCGGGGGTTGAGGGTCGACCTGTGAACCAGGTGGTCACGGTTCGATTCCCGGGTTTCGGGCTCCATCACCAGCAGGGGGCGGGCAGGAGGCAGTTGATTGATGTTTCTCTCCCTCTCTCCCTCTCTCCCCCTTCCTCTCTGAAATCATTAAAATTATATGTTTTTAAAAGAGAGAGAGAGAGAGAGAGAGAGAGAGAGAGGAGAGCAGTCACAGGCTCCAGCTGGGACACAGGCCGTCTGTGCAGGGAGGGCTGGGCCACCCCAGACAGTACCGCCCACCTGCCCCAGGCACAGGGGAGCTGGGTGGGGTTCCCAGAAATGGGCGAGGCTGCTGGAATGTGGCTGGTGGGAGGCTGGGAAGTGCAGTCCACAGGTGTCCCCCCTGCCCCTGGGGGACCCACCAGTACCCCTCCCCATGGCCCGGCCGCCCCTGCTCCTCCCCAGCCAGGAAAGCTGAGCCCCAGAGCCCGTGA